TTTTTTTTTTTTTAAGTTTTGGACACACCGTACAATATAACCTTTAGAAATTAAAATTTACAATATATAACATGGTATATCAAAGATAACTGAAAAAAGCCCTACTAAAACAAGGCAAAAAAAAAAAAGTTAAATTAAAAGTATCAACATAGCCTCATGACCTTTAAAAAAAAGAGTAATTTTTTTTCTATTTTGGGTATATAATAATTTAAGCAACATCTAGTAGTCACAGGGGAACAAGCTAATGTGTACGCATAGAGCCCAGATGCCATTCTTGGGACAGGAAAACCAAAGACAAGTGTGGGACCGCTTGTCAAAAAACAAGGACAATTTCAGAGGAGCATGGTGGTACTATATAAAAAAGACACATATACCAACCCAAAAGGAGATCTGCTAAAGACCAAATAGTGACAATTTAAATATGAAACAATGACAGCAAAACATTAATAAAAATTAGTTGAAACTAAAAGAGGTTATAATATTACCTCAAGAGACAAATAATATAAATTATACCTTAAAAGAGGAATATCAATAATAAACTGGTGCTCAGTTTATCCCCAAAAATGAAGGTAGAGTGACAAGTGATTTAACTGACTTTTAAAAAAATTAAATACTAATGAGCTTAATTGATATACCTTCCTCTTGAGAATTCAAGTAGTTATCTGTCTGAGATGTAAAAAATATATTTCCTCTTGACACTACAAAATGCCAAATCCTAGGCCAGAAGATTAAATGATAAAGATGGAATTTAGACTGACCTGAAATGTGGGCCCCTGGGAGATGTCTCTAAAAGTGGACCTTCCCCTCCCTGAGTCTGACAGCTGTGTATACTGGTCCTCTGCATCTGGGGGGTAGCCAAACCCCGAGCCACAGTCTCCCGGAGAGTCAGGGAGCAGTCACAGGAAGTGGAGAGGATGTAAATGTTCCCGTGAGAATGAAAAGACACAGGGGCGTCATTTACATCCCAGTAGGAATATGGGAGATTTGGGAAACTGCACCTCTAAGAGAATATTGCATTACATCCTACTTTATGTTTTCACTTCCATATGTGTATCTTTTGTTATAACAAACAAAACCTTTATGTCCTGACTGCTGGCATCATCCCACACCATCACTGTCCAGTTGTGCAAAACATGGACATGGCACAAATCCTTGATTGTCTTGTCCAGCTGAGGATAACACAGGAACGGACAAGTGACTACTGCATATTGTGTCTCATTCTCCTCCTTCAAAGTGACAGTTTAAAAAAATTACCCTCATTCTGTCCTCTCATCACCACGGTCTATTTGGCATGTCAAGGTGGATAACGTTATCACTAGCCACAGGACCATGAGCAGCTTTATCTGGGCCTGGATGAGAAGACTTCACAATACCTGGAGATCCTGGATGTGGGGCTGGATGCAGTAACTGGCTGAGATTTTGGAACGTCTCTCTGGGGAGATGGTGACTGCATTTTCAATCATATAAAGGAGAGTTAACATGTGAGCATTTTAAGAGTGCACACACAGCAAGAGAAGGGTGGAGTATAGTAGAGCTGCTTGGGTTCATCCGGAAATCAATCACTGTAGTTTTGATAACAGCCCTGGAGTTTTGGTTGTGGTGGAGGCGATTACTTTGCTAATTTATGGGTGGCATGTCACTACTTACTTAGGAATAATCAATCAAAGACTCTTTTCCCTAGGCCATATTGACTGGTTCAAGGGTAATTATGTGACCCACCAGAGCCAACAGCACACCGTAAGACATTTGTGGGGACTGTCGTGCCCGCACCACGCTCAGCCAGTGAGCGGGAACTGGTCTCCACATGGGATCCAAACCCTCGGAGGGAGCGCCACCGCGCTCCCAAGCGGCGCACTGTAGCAGTGCGCCACCGGGCCGGCCCCACCCCATCTCTTGAAAGATTGGAACTGAAGGTCATATGACTTCTGACAAATACGAACTCATGATGTGTTAGAAACTGTACAAGGAAACACAATCCAAAGTCTCACAGTTATTTTAAAATCAAATAAGCACATCTAATTAGAAGCAATTCACGACTATCTTAAAATTTAGGAATTAGGAATTCAGTTGCTTAAAAAATGATAATGCATAATGTGCAGCTGCCTTCAAGGCATTTTTTAAATATGACAGATGCTGCACTCCTCTTACGGTTTCTAACTGCTTTTAGAAGGTGGAAAGGCATTTAAACCAGACATAGAACTGCCTGAAACATTGCTAAGAGACAAAATGGGCCCCCGCATGGAAGAGCTGTGCCAAGCTCACATCTCTTTCACTCCTTGAGTACTTGTCTCCTATTAGTCTTATTGGTGCATGTCCTAGCTCAGGTGTTTGGAAAAAGCACCCAGGTATATACAGGTATCTGCAGGTGTACACAAAGAGAACGGTGAAGGGAAGGTCAAGGAGGGCCCTGCCTCTCGAATCAGCGGGGCTTGAAGTAGTCAAAGGGTGCAGTGTCAGGAGCGTTTGGTTGACAGTCCTGAGAGTTCCCTGGGAGAAGCTGGGCACTGCTTGGTTTCATGCTCCTGATGTCTGAGGTACCCAGCATTTTTCTGTCTCTACCCCTCTCTCATTCGTGGGATGCTGGAGTCCACGGAGGCCGTTTTGTACCCCAGCTGAGGACTAAGGTGTGCTGCCTGATTTATTGTTGAGAGTCCTCCTTCCCCACCTCCAAGGTGTGCCCCACATCCCAGGGAATTTCTCACAAATTCCCTGAATGCCCCACTTTGCCTAGCATGTCTCTCTTCTGTGGTTTGGAAGCTGCTGACAGTCCCATCTCTGAGGTTCAGGCTCCCCTGAAATTACTGACCAAGGCTGTTGGAGGCTGCTTGTTCTTGCTTCTGTCCATGGAGGCCGCTACATCAGACATCATCTACTGCTCCTTACTAGCTTGCCCCTTCTTGTCTGGTCCCAGCACACCGTGCAACAGGCACTGTACTCTCTGGTCACAGCCCTTTCCGGGAACTGATGTTGTCACGGCTTTTAAGGAAGTTGCTCTCTATAGAAAAGGCTTGAGTTCCTCCAGACCCTATACTTAAAATTGTTTTCTTCGCTATACCCTGGTGTGAATTATTTTTTAAAATGCCAGTTAAGTAGTGAAATGCCTACCCCTATATCTCCTAAGTACTATGACTTTTTGGGTGGGGGGAGGGGGAATGTTAAAATAAAGTCAATACAGTGTATGCTAATGTATGACAAGTTTTCAATCTGATGTAATGAAGAAGGTGAGGTAGTTTCAGAAGTCTGAATTTTAAAATGGAAAATTCTTCTTAAGGCCTTCTCTACCCTCACCCCTCCCACCTTTTACTAAATTGGGCAGTGTGGGATTTTTACAGATCCACACAAAGAGATGACGATACAAGGAGAGGTTTAGCTGAGCCTTGGTTTAGGTCTGAAACCAGAGTAGTGTTTGGAAATTAGGACTTTGGTTAGATGACTATATTTTAGTGACCAGTCTAAACCTCAGCATGATGCACCCCTGGGTAGTAGAAATCAGCCAGAAACAACCTTGGAATAGTAGCCAAGTCAACTTATTTCATAATGGTATGTGAAACTGGAAAGGCTGAACAATATTTTTTTCAAAAGAATGTTTAATTTAGGCCAAATTTTTTTTAGAGTGGATTATTTATGTGGGAGACCTACTCATGCACTTATTTGCATATGAGCTTTTTCCCCTTAATTCTTACAATTAGGTTCTTTAAAAGTATTTTATCATTGCGGCCTCTTTAAAACCATGCTGCAAACAAAATAAACCATATTTTATAGACCATTGTGAGAAAACCTCTAGAATTTTTTTTTATGTTTGTGGCAACTGGCTGGTACAGGGATCTGAGTCCTTGACCTTGTAGAATTTTTAATCAAAAGAGAACTCTGAACCTTCATGGTAATATCTAACAAAGTCACTAGGGAAAAATTAGGGCTTTTGGCATCAGATTCAATCTTCTTGCCAGTAGCACACCCACCATTTACCAAGCTTGTTTTAACATCTGGCACTGAACTGAAGCAGGAGGAGGAAGTTACATTTTGCTTCTTTGTATCTAAACCCCCACCTAATAATAACAGGTGATAGATCAGATTAATTAAATAGTTATTATTAGGCAGAATGCCATACCAAATGTAAACAACTTGAATCTCATAAATCATACATTGTTTGGACCAGTGTCATTGTAAACATGGAGCTCACCTCACTGTGAAGAGCCCACAGGGAATTCTTTTTTTTTTTTTGTCCTTTTTTTGAGACCGGCCACACCGTGCTCAGCCAGTGAGCGCACCGGTCATCCCCATATAGGATCCGAACCCGCGAAGGGAGCGCCGCTGCCACGGGCTCGGCCCCCACAGGGAATTCTTAAAGCACCTCTGAGATCCATGAAATTCTCTTTAGATATTAAGAGTCTTTAATATTTATCTTCCCTTTGTATGAATATAGTAAATTAAGTAACTGTAGTAATTATGAGCTTTTCTTTTTAGAAATGCTAAAGTATTTGACAACTTTTCAATACTTAAAATAGCACATCAAATAGTACTAAAATAATGGTAGAAATCCTCTTTCTACATAGAGCATTCAAGGCAACAAAATCAAATGGGTTCGGCCTGGAATTGTCAAACCCACCTGAACAAATCTGGGCAGGTAAAGACACAGTAGGAGAAGGCACACCAAGTGACCGAGGTGCACTCAGGCGCAGACTCTGGTTGGAATGGAAGATGATTTTTCAAAAGTCCACAAATATTCCTCCTCGACCTCAGCGGCCTGCCCTCCTATCTCGCTAATCAGCCATCACAGTCAGAGCAGCTTTGGGGCTATCCTGACATCCTCTCTTGGCAAGGTGAAGCCTAGTCCGACCAAGTTTCATGTTTGAAACATGAAATGCCACATACTGAGGGCACTGGGCAATTTTCCTCAGCTTAGGCCTGTGTACAGGTTAAAGACTGACTTAAGTAGAAACTCCAGTTTAAATAAGTTTCTTGTGGTCAGGCCTAAGAAAAGCAAACCTGCAACACCATACCTTTCCTCCACGGAGACTTCCTTCAGCTGCTGGTGTGGTTTGGTGCCTTCCATTTCCCTGATGCTCACGGCATAGATCTTGGTGGTGTAGTCAATGGCCTTTTCTCTGGCAACGTCGCTGTCGTAGCCTCAAACGACAGAGAGAGGTTGGGGAGCGAGTTGGTTTGCAGTGGCTCAGGGCATGAGGCGGGCGCTTGGCAGCTCGGGGCTCACCTCCGTCCTCCTCCACGTCCGTGTCCGACTCCTCGCTGTCCACCAGCTTGCTGTCCTGGGTCCCCACGAACTCCCGGCTCCAGATCATCAGGGCGGTGTCGGCGCCGCCGACCGTGAGCAGCACGGAGTCGTTGTGCAGCCACCTCACGTTGGTGACGTGCGCGCTGTGCCCCACGTACTTCTTGAACCTTGCGTGCTGTCCCTGTAAAGCCAGAAATTGGCGATTACCCTAGCCAGTGGCTCATGATCCCCATCTCTGGGCCGTGTCATCCGTGTTATTTTCTGGGGTGGTTTCTACTGGATAGAAAGGAAACAGTTCGTCTAAGCGGCTATTGCCCCACACTTCACTAGAATGTCAGCTCCCTGAGGGCAGGGGCTAGGTCTCCTTTTCCCTACAACAGTAGCCGGCTCATGATAGGTCCTCAATAAATATTTTTTTGAGGGAATGAATAAAATTTTAGATTACGGAACCTATTTCTGGGAGCCTAAGGAAGTATAAAAAGCTCATTTCTGTGTCTCTCAAATATTAAATGTGCCATCTCCACAGGTCTCTAGGGTAAACTCCCCATTATGAGTCTGGCTGACATTTGAGATCAAAAATGTCCTCCCAGTCATACCCCAAAGTGGCTTTTGTACCACAGGCCAGGCAGTGACAGAAGAGCAAGGGGCTTCTTATAACCTTAGGCCTCAAATAAGGTTTGAAATGAACAAAGAGTTTCTGCCATAGACACCAGAAACCATTTCTAACATTAGAAACACTCAAAAAATTGATTTAAAGACAAAGTAAGCTCCTTTTCAACAAACATAACCAGATATATAAAACCCGATGTATTAGTAATTACTGAAGGCTTTTGGGGGTGGTGTGCACAGACCACACCACGTTTACCCACAGGTGGAGAAGGGTGGAGGGTGGAGTGGGAGACAGCTGCTCATTCCAGGGCAGTCATGGCAAGTGGTGGGAAGCCGAAGCTGGCAGCAGAAAGAGCTTCCATTTTTGGCTCATGAGCCACAACCTGGCAAAAACAGTTCCAGCGGGAGCCATTTTAAACGGTAGAGTTTTTCCACCTACCCACAGGTGGAGAAGGGTGGAGGGTGGAGTGGGAGACAGCTGCTCATTCCAGGGCAGTCCTGGCAAGTGGTGGGAAGCCGAAGCTGGCAGCAGAAAGAGCTTTCATTTTTGGCTCATGAGCCACAACCTGGCAAAAACAGTTCCAGCGGGAGCCATTTTAAACGGTAGAGTTTTTCCACTCTCTCAGCGACTCCCGGGGAATACCTTATGCAATACGGGAAGCCACATGAACTCTCTGAGGTTGTGAGAGGGCCACCGGTGTCCCAAATGAGAACTTTACTAAATAATCGACAAGAGACTTCCAGAGGGTTTTGGACTGGCATGCTGGAGAACCTGAAACCGGCGCAGACACATGGCAGGCAACAGATGTAGGAGAGTCGTGACTTTGAAATACTCTTGGTCAAGACCTTTCTGTAACTGGTTGGCCCCTACCTGACAGTATAGTGGAACTGCCCACTCCTCAGCAGAATACCGAGTCTAGAAAGATTAGTGACGCAGAGGCAGGCAGCATTTCCAGGCAGCCCTCCAGAGCCACCTGTTTGCTAGCTAACAGGCAGAGCTGAGTAAGAATTTCCAAGGGAAACCCCTGTGGCCATGTGAGATCCAGTAAACATGGAAACAGAGGACAGTCATAGCACTCCCAGCTGTGCCCTGCTGGAAGCAGGACCCTACCCAGTATGTCTACTACAAATGCAAGCTGGTTTCTTTTGAGGAAGAGAAAGTAAAAGAGCATGAGAAATGACTTTCTTACACCCTTGTTTATAAAAGGAGACAGAGTTTCTAGACAGGATGTAAGAAAGAATTCAAAAATAAAGGTTCATAGGAAAACAGATTCTAAGAGTATCAGAGTCAGGTTGCAGAGGGAAAGAAAGTGACACAGGAAAAAATGCTGGGCCACGGAAGCTATTTAACAAAGCCGGCAGAGGGTGATTCAAGATTCTCAGAATAGGAAACTATCACTGCTCCAGGGAACAATAAAGGGAATTCACAGTTAGTAGAAGGTTCTAGGAAGCCAGCTGCTGTCTCAGGAGGAAGAGGCTGGCAGAGATGCCTGGTGGCTCCCTCTAGGGTCTATGGAGGCAACCTCCCGAAGACTCGGCCCAGCCAGCTGGACGTGCTGCCTTTCTGGGCTATCATGCCACACTCTGCATTGCTGTTCCACCCATCAGGACCTGCTAGTTCCCCACAGCTTTCCTCTTTCACCGAGTCATGAAAGAATGGATGACAGAGCCAGAAGAAACCAGACAACGTCTCAAGAGCACTGGTGTTTAACCACTTTTAGGTAAGAAGTTCCCTGAGAATCTGATGAAAACTATGCACTCCCTCCCCACATTCACATTTCACATAATTTCTCTGTCTATAAAATTTTACATGCAGGTTTCCTCTCTGAAGAACATTCTCCAGAGATTTCATGTTCTGAGAAGGAAATTTAAGTACTTGAGGGCATGGAGGGTTTTACAAATGTAAATGACATATTGGTATTTTAGCCTCTCTGTCTAGCGGAAGGGCATAGGTTTGTGAGGGAAAGGAGGCTTGGGAAGCTTTTGGCTAGCCATGTAGGTGGTGTCAAAGGACAGAAGTTGGTTTTCTCGTCCATGGTTTAAGGTAAGAGAAAAATGGGTGGGCTCTGACAAAGTGTAGAGTCCGTCTCATGGAGGCTGAAGACAATGTGATTGTCAGGGGACTTGTGACCTAATTGAGAAGGTTTTAAACTGTAAAACTGAATATTAATAAGGATACGTGTCTGTCATAGAAAGGAAAATGTGGGGAGGAGATGCCTAGTAACTCAGGGGAAAGGAGGATGAGAAAAAGGGCCAAGAAGAAGACTTATCCAGTAGAACTTGGATTTTGGACAGAGAGAGATCTGTGTGGTGGCAATAAAAGCTCACAGGTATCACCATGACTTGATGACCTGGAACGTAAGGCTAGAATACAGCAATGGTATGGTGTACGTGTCTGCTTGGGCTGCTGTAACAAAACACCACAGGCTGGATGGCTTAAATGATAGAAATTTATTTCTCACAGTTCTGAAGTCTGGGAAGTTCAAGACAAAGGTGCTGGCCCATCTGGTTCCTGGTGAGAGCTCTCCTCCTGGCCGTAGATAGCTGCCTTCTCACTCTGTGTGCACATGGCCTTTCCTCAGTGTGTGTCCATGTATGCAGAGAGAGCAAGCTCTCTGGTTCCTCTTCTTATGAGGACGCTAATTCTATCATCAGGGCCCCACCCTTATGAATTCATTTAACCTCAGTTACTTCCGTAAAGACCCTATCTCCAAATAGTCACATTGGGGGTTAGGGCTTCAACATATGAATTTGATCTGGACACAAACATTCAGTCATAACAGATGGTGAACTTAGTTCAACAGACCCAGAGCAGCTGGAAGAAAGTGGCTACAATGCCAATATATAAGGATATATTCACTGGTGTGGGGTTCATGTATTTAGGAAGTAAAGTGTGCTGGAAAAGTCAGATTGAAAAAGAGGAAGAAAAGTGATACTATCAAAGGAATTCTTACTGGCCAGTGGTTTTCAAATGCTTTTAAGGTATGAAACTATTTCCTCAATCAAATCTTACATAGTAGAACTCAAGAATAAATATTATTGACCTCAAATAATGAACAAAACATTTGTACAGAATACTTCACAAACAGCCAATAAACAGACAAAGAAAGTGCTCAGCCTCATTAGTCATCAGAGAAATGTAAATTAAAAACACAATTAGATAGCACTATCTACTCCCCAGGACAGCTAAATTTTACATGTCTGATAATACTGAATGTTGGTAACTGGAATTCTCTTACACTTTTTGGTAAAATGATACAACCATTTGGGAAAAGGTCTGGCAGTTTCTTAAAAAGTTAAACATACATTTTTCCCTATGACCCAGAAATTCCACTCCTACATATTTACTTAAAGAAAGCATATGTACACAAAGACTTGTCCAAAAATGTTCATAGCACCTTTATTATAACCAAAAATTGAAAAAGTGTGTGTATATAATAGGCATATGGATAAATAAGCCCCATTATATCCATACAATGGAATTCCACTTAGCTATAAAAATGTATAGACTATTATTACCCACAAAAACATGAATAAATTTTAGAAACATTATCTGAGTAAAATAAGCCAAATACAAAATAGTACTTACTTGATTACTCCATTTATATGAAGTTCTGGAACACGTGAAACTAATCTATGGTGAAAAACATTGGAACAGTTGTTTCCTCTGTGGGTGGGGTGGGGGTGGGGACTGACCCAGAAGGAACATGATGAAGCTTCCTGGGGTGATGATAATGTTCTACATCTTGACAGGAGATTGGGTTATACAGATGTGTTTGTCAAAGCTCAAAATGGAAGCTTTAAAATTTGTGAACTTCAACTGTATGTAAAATTTTACTTGGAAAAATAGCATAAACAAATGTTGAACTCTAGGTAATGATATGCATGTTAGTGCTAAGTGTCCTGATGTCTACAATTTACTTTTTTCCCCAGCCTTACTGAGGTATAATTGACAAACAAAAATTATTTATATTTAAGGTATAAAACCTGATGGTTTGATAGATGTGTACACTGTGAAATGATTACCATGATCAAGCCAATTAGCACATCTATCACATACAGTTACAATTTTGTGTTTGTGGGGGGTGGGTAGGTGGGTGAGGACACTTAAGATCTACTCTCTTAATAAATTTCAAGTAAAAAATACAGATTAGCTATAGTCACCATGCTGTATATCAGGTCACCAGAACTTATTCATCTTATAACTAAGTTTGTACCCTTCAACCAGCATCTCCCCACTTCGCCCCTATTCCCCAGCCCCTGGCAACCACCATTCTACTCTCTGCTTCTATGAGTTCAACTTTTTTAGATTCTACATATACATGAGACCATACAGTACTTGTCTGTTTGCATCTGGCTTATTTCACTTAGCACAGTGTCCTCCAGGTTCACGCATGTCGTCACAAATGGCAGGATTTCCTTCTTTTTTATGGCCATTTTATGTAAGTAGGTGTATATAGTATATGTATGTATGTGTGTGTGTGTGTGTGTGTGTGTGCGTGCGCGCGCACGCATCTGTATACCACAATTTCTTTATCGATCCATTCATTGATAGATATTTAGGTTGGTTAC